ATTTTTTTTTTTTTTTTTTTGTACCAGGGATTGAACTTGGGTCCTTGTTCTTGCAAGGCAGGCCACCGAACTGCTGAGCTAAATCCCCGGCCCTTTTCTCTCTAGATTTGCCTACTCTGGAATTTCATATAAAGGGAATGTGAAGACCAGTTTATAATAAAAAAAAAAGCTTATAATTTAAAGAGAATGTGACAATAGGTGGCCTTTTGTGTCTAGCTTATTTTCAAGGTTTACCCATGTTGTCACATGTATTAGGACTTCATTCCTTTTTATTGCCCAAAACATTTCTTTGTACACATGCACTACATTTGGTTTATACATGCATGCTTTGCTTCACTTGCCCTGCCTCTACTTTTTTGGCTTTTATGAATAATCCTGCTATGAACATTCATGTAGAAGTTTCTGTATGGACACATGTTTTCATTTCTCTTGTTCATTTAGGGGTAGAATTACTGGGCCATCTGGTAAACGGTTTTCCACATGACCGCAACATTTGACATGCCCACCAGCAGTGTATAACGGATCCAGTGACCTCACCAACACTTGTCACTCTCTTTTTTGGTTCCGGTACGTTGCTCCACTCTGTTTCCATTGAGCTATTACCTGTCATGATTCCTCTGTGTATAACATGTCTTTGACTGCAGAGAACACTTCATTCCTGTTTATTGCCAAATAATGTTCCATTGTATAGATACACTGTAGAATTTGCTTTATCACTAAGTTTGAGCAATATGATTACAGTGTGACTTATTGTCTTTTTTTTCATGTTTCTTATACTATAACTTTGGGTTCGTTGGGATTATTGGACTTGTGAGTTTACTCTTTTTATCAAATTTGGGAAATGTTTAGTCATTTCTTCAGATATTTTTTATTGTCCTCTTATTCTTGGGGGCACTGAATTACACATACATAATGTGCATGCCTGTATCCCTAGCTGTTTAAGCTGAGGCAGGAGGATTATACGTTTGAGACCAGCCTGGACAATTTAGTGAGACCTTGTCTCAAAATTTTAAAACAATTTAAAAATAGTACCAGGGATGTAGTTCAGTGGTAGAATGCTTGGCATGAGCAAGGCCCTGGGTTCAATTCCTAGTACAGCAAAAAAATAAAATTTAACGTATCGCATGGGTAGTATAAAAAGTTAACCAGTCTTTTATATCTAGCTTACCATTAATCAATCCCATCTAATACTTTTTTCATATTGTATATTGTGGTTTTCATTTTAAGAAATTTGATACACTTTTTTTTTTTTTTCTTTTTTGTACCAGGGATTGAACTCAGGACCTTGTGCTTTTGAGGCAGGCACAGTGACACTGAGTTAAAGCCCCCTGGCCCAATATGCATTTCTTTTAGTATTTTCAATGTCTAGCTTTTTGAGCATATAGAAAACAGTATAATAACTTTTCTAAAAGAAGTCTTTGTGTTCCAGCAGCTGCAGCAGTTTGGGCTTGTTTCATGATGGGCCCTATTTTCTAGTTTGTTTATAGGCCTGGCAGTTTTTGCTTGAATGACACACATTGTGGATTTGACTTTGTTGGCTGCTGGATATTTCTATTCGTATAAGTAGTCACGAGCCTTTTTACTGAGGCACAGTTAATTTGCGTGTAAGTAGCCTGATCCTTTCCCTTTTTGGTCTTAAGATGTGTTAGGCAGGACCACACATCCTCGTGTTCAGGCAGACTGTTTCCCACAGCTAAAATCCCCTCCTGCGTACTCCTCACCGCACTTGATGTGAACGGTGAGATCTTGCCGTCGACATCTTTGATCTGCCGTTTTTCCTGTTCCTGTGCGGGTGCCAGCACTGACCCCTTCCCTCCATTGCAGTGGCTCTTTCCTTGGTCCTAGCGGCTCCCTCACATGTGTGCCTTGAAAAATACTCGGCTGAATATTTGAATTGACCCTCAGTAGATTTTGTGTTCTCTTTCTTTGTTGCTCTTTCATATTTGCTACCCTGTCCTGAGACCTCTTGCTACTCTGTTCCTTCTGAACTCTGAATTTCATTCTTTAAATTTAGGGAGTAACCTTTGCGCTGCCTAGTTTTCCTTTCCCTGTTCCATGGCCTGGAATGCTATTAAAACGATTGTTGGATTTGTCTTATTTCTTGCCTTAAAGAGATCACTATCTTTTATTATACAGTGGCTAATGCCTTCAAGACGTGGTTCACATGTCTTGTCTGGTTTTGGTTGTTTCAGGTGGACAAATAAATCCAGGCCCTGTTACTCCATTTGAATCAGAAGTGGAGCTACCTTCACTCTATACCCCCTGCCCCAGATTCCGGGGAATGAACAGGGGCTGCTGTACCACTGAGCTGTTATATCCCCAGCTGTTTTTCTTTTTATTTTGAGACAATGATCTCACTAAGTTGCCCAGGCTGGCCTCCAACTGTGATCCTCCTGCCTCACACTCCTGATGTATACCACTGGCCCGGCTCTTTTATTCTTAATGTAGAATTCTGTTTTGTTTTTTTTTTTCTCCTCTTTTTCAGTACTTAAAAAGTGTTTCACTGTCTTCTGGCCTTCATAGTGTCTGGGAATTCCACAGTATTTAAATTGTAAGTTATGACAGGCATAGTGGTGCATGCCTGTAATCCCAGCACTCGGGAGGCTGAGGCAGGAGGATCGCTGTGAGTTCGAGACCAGCCTGGACTGCACAGTGAATTCCAGGGCAGTCACAACTACATAGTGAGACCCTGTCTCAAAAAGCCAAAAAATAAAAAATAAAAAATAAATAAAATTGTGTTACTTTGTATGTGATATGCCATTTTTCCCTGATTACCATTGTAAGTTTTACTTTTTCTTTCCTGATCTTCCGATACTCCAGTTACTTATTTATTAGGCCTTTTGATATTGTTACAAAGATCCCTGAAGCTGTTTTTTAAAAATAAATTTTGTCTCATCAGACTAGATAATTTTGTATACTTTTTCGTTCACTGATTCATCTAAATTTTACCTCAGCTCCATACTATGTATTGTATGTGATTTTTAGTTTTTCACATTGTATTTTTTAGATTACAAAGTCATTATTTGGTTCTTTTTAATATTTTGTATGCATTTGTTGAGATACCTATCTCTTCATTCAACAAGACATTATTTTTTTTCATTGAGTTATAGTCATGATAGCTGCTTAAATATCTTTGTCTGTCTGACAGTTCCAATACCATGATTATCTTTGCTCTTTGTAGATTGTCTTTAAAGTGAAGACAGCTGGGTGTGGTGGCGCACACCTGTAATCCCAGCACTCGGGAGGCTGAGGCTGGAGGATCGCTGTGAGTTCGAGACCAGCCTGGGCTACATAGTGAGTTCCAGGTCATTGTCAACTACATAGTGAGACCCTGTCTCAAAAAACCAAACCAAACAAATAAACAAACAAATAAAGTGAAGACAAATTAACATAAATTGAACAGATGTGTTACTACCATCCCAATTAAGAAATAGAATACTGTTAGCAGTCCAGAAACTCCAGGAATTTCTTGGGTTTTGTTTGTTTCTTTGTTTGCATTGTTTATTTGATATGTTTTACAAGAACGAGAAGATAGATTATAGGATGAAGGAGATAACTGATTAATCAAATTTCTGAAAGGGATGAGAAATAAGGTATTTGACTTTATTGGTGATAAGAGCTTTATAAATTAAAATCATAATGAAGTACTACTAAAGTGCT